TTTAATAGGAGCAAATGACATTCTTGAAGGAAATTGTGGCTCTCTGCTTCGCTCAAGCATGGTAATCCTACTAGAAGCCTTAATCTGTTCCTGTGACTTCCTCCTTGAACAGTGTGAGGAATTATGGGCTCACTTCCTCATCCCACCTTGTTGATGGCATTATTCATTATGTATTTAGCATCTAAATTAAATGAACGTGTTATCACTGGCAAATGCATTTGTTTTACATCTCAGGCAACATACTGTGGCATTATAAAACATAACTAGCTGTGGCATCCCTGTTCATTTTGTTGAGTTCAGGAAGGAGGCAGAGGAAATGAAATGGGTTGTCAGGCAGAGCCTGGCTGCCGGCAGCAAGACCAGCTGGGAGTGCTAGAACCCTGATAATATGAACCATGTGGTGGAGTTTAATAAGAGGACAGGGACACGAGCGGTCAGGAGCCGTCCCACTAGCTAGTGAGCGGACCACAGTGTGCTCCTGGAGCATACTACAGTGGAAAAGGGGTTCCAGCCTGAGGATCTAAGCCCTTCCTGTGCACGGTCTACTTTCAGGACCCTGGGAGATGGTCCTGTCAGCAAATGCACCCACTGAGCACATACGGAACCTGAACTTGATCTCCAGAGCCCATGCTTAGGAAACAAATAGGCAAACCAGGCCTGGCAACATGCACTGGCAACTCTGGGGAGGCAGAGGCAGGCCATCCCCGGGGCTGGCTGTGCAGCCAGCCAGCCTGGTTTGCTTGGTGAGTCCCAAGCGGACAGCAGAGCCTGTTCCGACCACAAGACGGGAAGTGCCTGAGGAACCACAGCCAGAGCTGACCTCTGCTACACACACACCTGTGCACACACAATGCAGTGAGAAGGAGACCCCCAGTACTTACACTTAAGCCCCTCCCCACCATTGTATGGTGCTGCTAGTCCCTCGTCAGAGACATTGAGCAGTGTATTCACGGTGGGAAAACATTTCTTCTCCCAGCTGCCCTTGTCGGGCATCTGATTTCTGTCTATTCATGAAGCAGAGTCTCTCCTAGACAAGCTGTGGATGAGGCGGATGGGAAAGGCAGGAGTAGGGAGATTGGCAAATTGCAGCCACCTGGCCCATCCAGGCTTCCTCACGGCCTGGCATTCGCCCCAGCGGAGACGATGGTGGGAAGCAGGTACCAGGAGTGCAGCTGTGCAGAGCCTTGCTCCCCTGCCCCTCAGCTATGGTCCCCTCCCAGAGAGGAAGTGAGGGGGTGGGTGAGGGGAGCAGGTGTGCAATTTATCGCATGGGTGGCTGCGGGGGAGCCAAAGCCCCTGCAACCCTGCTTCCTCGCTGCCCTGCGTCTGCTGGTGATGTCCACTTCAGCTCTGAGGAGAGCAGAGGCTGGGCCGGGCAGCCGTACATTCCAGATGTCACATGGAGAATAAACATCTCTGAGGAAATCATAAACAGAGCAGGGACCCTCCAGGGGGCACTGAGGGAAATCTCCCAGTCAATCTATGAGGTCATTTGGAACACACGTTCCCTGACGACTTACCAATTCTTCAGCTTCCGAAATGGCCACTCGTGGACTGGGATGCTTCAGCCCTGACAGGAGGATGCTATCATGTCTTGGCAAGGAGAGGGAGACAGAGATGACAAAAGAGTCGACGAGAGTCAAGCTCCCGCACTGTTGTGTGATTTTCTGCTTTGCCAGCATCTTCTGCGAAGCCTTGGCAACAGCATCTGCTCATGTGCCCTAGGGAGGCTAACCCCGACAAACACTGAGAGGCACACTTGCCGCTGAGGGCAGGGAGCACAGGGTGCTGGGAGCTGTGCTCCTACCCCTCTGTCCCTTGTGGACACACTCTGTGGTGGGGAGCGTTCTGAAGGTGAGATGGCACCGCTTGCGGAAGAGCAGTTTACTGAAGCCTGACCCTGCGCTGTGACATTCTGCTCTTCTCCAGTCTTGCTTGTGCCTAGGCTTTGGTTCCTGAAACTGTTCATTGTTTTGTCCTCTGAGACTCTAGCAAGGGAACGAGAGGTATGGGTGCTAAATGGGAGGTCCGGGAGGGAGGAAGGAAGATAGGGGTCAGGGTACATGGCAGCGGGCTGGTCCCTCCTGAGTCTGAAGGGCTCTGGCTTGGCCACTGTGGAAAACTAGGTCAGATCCTCAAAAGGTGGAGGAGAAGCTCCACAGGCTCCTGAAGGCCCACATCCGGGTCTCCATCCCCCAAGGTAGGAAGCAGGGACTCAAACAGTCTGTGCTCCTGCGTTCACAGAAGCGTGGCTCCCTGGAGCACCTGGGAAGCTAACATGGGTCCAACAGACAACAGCACAGTGTAAGTGCAATATCATAGGATGCACAGTGGCACTCCACCCTAAGAAGCTCTGGCAGACAGATGACGTACAAAGATGTCATGACGCTAAGTGATACAAACCAGACATAGAAGAACAGATATTGCGCGCGCACACACACACACACACACAACTATAGACCCAAATCAAATCATTATAAGGGCTACCCTTCCTTCCTTCTTTCCCTCCCTCTTTTCTTCCTTCCTTCCTTCCTTCCTTCCTTCCTTCCTTCCTTCCTTCCTTCCTTCCTTCCTTTCAAAACATGGTTTTTCTGCGTAGCTTTGATCATACTCTCTTTGTAGACCAGACCTACTTCAAACTCACAGAGATCCACCTGCCTCCACCTCCCCGAGGGCTGGGATTACAGATGTGTGCCGCTGTGCCTGGCTGCCAGTGGTGGCTCTTACTAAAACCTCTCATGCAATAAATACACCTCGGCTGGTGGCATAGTGCTTGACAAGCATTAATACACACTGCCGTTCCAGCTTCTCGACTATTATAACTTATTTTATTTGTTATTACTTTTTGGGGGGAGGGGTACCCCTGCTTTGGGACAGCTTTTCTCTTGTTCTTTCGGTTGCTGAGCTGTGTCGTTTGGGGTAATTGACCGAGAGCTTCTCCCATCCTCGCCTCAGGAGGGCTGAGATCACAGTCAACACTGCGTGTGGCCCTTTTACAAGGGTTCCAGGGCCTGAACATGGGGCTTCCGGCTTGCGTGGCAAATGCTTTCACCTACCTCCCCACACACAACTGGTTTATTATTTCTATGTAGGGAATGAACTGCGTTTTATCTTTTATGCCTAGAACATTCATTTAAAAGTAAACTGCTCTTCAGGAAAAAAACAAAGTTCATGGTTAGATCAAAGCCAGAGAACACAGGTAAGCAAAAAGAATGAGGCCAATACCACCCAAAATCTGATTAAGCAGTCATCACCATTGTAAGATTTGGTATCGTTCTCAACTCTATCTACTGTTTATGTATCTAGAGAGTAAAACTATAATCTGTGCTGCTTTACAATGGGTTTTTCCAGTTACTCTCACTCATCTCGCACTCATCTGTTGAGCAGTTGCCCTGTCAGGTTTTCCGGCAGAAAGAGCAGAAAAGGCAAAGGCCCTGGGGCGGGGGAGAGCATTATAAACACCTCTTCACATTTCGGTGCGTTTAGAAGCGTCTGTTTCCGCCCCTTGGAGCCAGCACTTTATTCCCCTTTACTGCTGTAGCATAATTTATTTAACTAGTCTCTTCCTTGGAGACATCGGGTTGTTCCCAAGTGTATCCTGTCACAGACAATATGGCCTGGAAATCCTTGTTTACTCACCCTTAGTCACACCAGTGTTTTGCTGGTTCGCTGCGTGTGGAGCAGCACGCCCGGCAGATGGTCAGAGCCCCAACCATGCTTGTCGAGAGAGTAAATAAACCAACCATCAGCACCCAGAAAACACTGGCATCACTCCCACCGGGCTCTGCTCCCAAAGCTGCAGCAATACCAACCCTCACTGCCCTCCACTCGCCCCAAAGAGTGCCCATTGTGTGGGTGGGGACCTGAGGGACAGAGGGACTGGGAGCCTTGCTCAAAACCACATGTCTGGTGTGTAGCAGAGGCCTTCAAACTCCAACTGTCCATCCTGAAGGCTGCGCTCCTGCGGGCAAGGAGCAGGGCCTGGAAGGACTTACACTCCAGGACCCGCCTCCTCTCACTCCTGCTGGTTTCGCTTCCCAACAGTACTTTCCAGTTATGACTCCACAAGGGATGACTCCGCTGATCACACAGCTGGACCCGCCAGCTGGGCAAGGCTTGAGCAAAAACTCCTTTGGGGGGTGTTTCGTGTTCACACTTCCTGGTTGTTGAAGCCCTGGAGCTCTCGGCGGTGAGCCCTTCCAGGGCTCTCCGTGGTTCCTCCGTGATTCCCATGAAAGTTGTCTGCTGCCACCTGTGAGCTATGCAGTATGGACGAGGCTCAGCAGAACACCATAGCCTTCCTTCCATTCACAGTGGCTCTCCAGGCCGCAGGCTGCAGCTAGAGCGGAGAGGTTCCGGGACCTGTGTGTGCCCTAGCCAGCTTCTATTACTGTGGCAGGATATCTGAGAAGGGTTAATGTCTAAAGAAGGGCTTAGTCAGTAAGAAAGAATTAAAGATGGGCTTGCAAATGAACACCGGACCCCTGAGTGGTCTGTTCTCTTTAGGACTGGCTGTCCCTGCAGAGTCATCAGGGATCCTAGCTGGCAAAGCCTCAGGGTATAGAAGATAAAGACACGATTGCCGCATGGAGATGCCCACACTCTTGACTACTCAGATTTGGGGACAAAGGGGTCACGTGTTTGTGCACACACCAATGGCCCCTGTCTGAACTTCTTGTTTCTCTGACGCTGTACTTCTCTGAAGCAGATGGCAGGTTCTTACTGACTGCCTCAGTCACCCCTGCTGAGCAGCCTCACTGAAGACCTTCCCTAGCAGGGAGTGCCACCAAGGCCCTCTCAGTGTCTCCGTGCCCAGACTAAAGACTTGGTGACTGGATCAGACAAGCCAAATCTCTAACCTGGAAGACTAAACAGCCATTGCTTGGCTTACTGCTCATTATCTGGAGTTCCTAACTTTCTTCTTTTTTTAACAAATAAAATAAATATTCATAAGTTATTTATTTGCAAAGTATACATTATGCAAATCCAGCGGGCCATGTTTCAAGAAATGCATTTAAGAAGCAGAATAAGCCCATCAATTGGCAGTTTTTGCTTTGCACAGTACTGTTAACTCTGCTGGAAAATCCAAATGCTATCATTGTTCGAATACCATGATGTCAGGGAAGCAGCGCTTTCAGGAGGGAATATTAACTGTGAGAGGAGTGTGAAAGGGAAGAGAGAGGAGCACACGGACCTCGGCACAGACTGCTGCTTCCTGTTTGCAGCTTGCCTCTGTGTTTGACTTTGTTGTGTAGCCCGCCTCCGAGGGCCTTCATTTGAGGGCTTTCTTCTTCCATCATCTTTGTAAAGATCTGGCCAGATGTTAGCAGAGCTTCTCTCTCGATGCTTCCCTGAAGTCATTCCCAGGAGGGTCGGTGGGTCACTTATGTGCTAGAGCACACTCCCTGGAGCTGGGGCACAGAAAGCACGGCATCACCAAATGTTTGCCACGACAGCAGGGCTCACTAATGACCCAGCTACAACCTGACTGACCCACCCTAGCCCTGACCCACCCTAACCCTCACCTACCCTAACCTTCACCTACCCTAACCCTCAGCTAGCCCTGACCCACCCTAACCCTCACCTACCCTAACCTTCACCTACCCTAATCCTCACCTACCCAAGCCCTCACCTACCCTAACCCTCACCTACCCTAGTCCTGACCTGCCCTAGCCCTGACCTACCCTAACTGTCACCTACCCTAGCCCTGACCTACCCTAACCCTCACCTACCGTAGCCCTGACCTACCCTAACCCTCACCTACCCTAGTCCTGATCTACCCTAACCCTCACCTACCCTAGCCCTGACCTACCCTAACCCTCACCTACCCTAGTCCTGACCTACCCTAACCCTCACCTACCCTAACCCTCACCTACCCTAACCCCCACCTACTCTAATCCTCACCTACCCTAACCCTCACCTACCCTAGCCCTGACCCCTCTGTTTCCTTCCACCCAGTCAATGAGTCATTGTCTCATTTTTTCCCTTACAGCAACATTCATTTCCAAGTTCTGGTTCTTAAGACCTCTCACAATTAATACCTGCTAGCTGCTTGGCAGATGAGGCTCCATCCTGGGTGGTTTAAGACAATTTCATTTCTTATCCATGAAGAATACACACATGGAGAGAGAAAAAAAAGTTGAGGAAAAATAATCCAAATTTCAGTGGCTATAAAACAGAAATGAGATTACTTATATATTCACAACAGACCATCTATTTTGAATATCATTAACATTTTAACGCCATCCTACAAATGCATGCATCAACTCAACAATCACTGAACAAAAGTCTGCCTGGATCTCTCTCCTCTTACCTGGAACACTATTTCAGAAGCCCTGGGAGATCAGCAGACTAGGGTCCCCTCCTGCTCTGAGGCTTAGTCCCAGTGCTCCTCCGAGAGGGACAGCTGGAGCTGGTCCCTGATGACCGCCGTTGAGTAGCTATGGTCCTTGCTGTAGAGAAAGCTGACATCCTATACCAAGCACTACGGGATGAAGCGACTCTTCACTGGGAATGCAGATTCACACACTTTGGGTGTGGTTTTGAGCTTCTTTGCTACAGAGCCTCTCCCTAGCCATCATACCCTCGATTTGGGTCTGAGGAGATGCTAAAAGCTGAGATAGTCAACGTGGGGAGCAGATGGAGAAGAGAGAGAGACCTGTGGGTCATCACAGACAGGCTTTTTCACGCTGTGAAAATACATGGCAAACAGCTTCGGGAAGGACGGGGCGGGGAGGTTGTTGAATGTGTGGTTTGGGGGTGCCACCAGGGCCGGAAGGTGGGCAACGAAAGTGTGAGGCAGTGTCACGGTGTGTCCGCACGAGGGAGACAGATGCTGGCTGGCGCCTGGCTTGCCTTCTCCTTTTCATTCGTCCAGCACTCTAGCCCAGGAATGGTGCTCCCTACCTTCAGATGAGTCTTCCCTCTTAGGAAACACCAGTGCTCTCAGGGGCACAATGAGCAGCGTGTTTCCTAGCTCAGTCAAGCTGACAATGGAGACGAACCACCACAGAGCAAGAACTTCACTCTGTGGAAAGATGATGGTTTTTAAACACCAGGCAAGGTGAAAACATGCATGTAGTCCCAGGACTCAGATGGCTGATGTGGAAGGATTAGTTAGGTCCAGGGTTCCAGAGTAGTCTAGGCAATTTGCAGGAGGGAAGGCAGGAGGGAGAGGGAGAGAGAGATAAAGAGAAAGGGGGGAGGCAGGGAGAGGGAGGGGAGAGAGAGAGAGAGAGCGGGCACAGGGTATACCTGCCCAACAACCCATTTTCTAGTAGTCAACCCACTTCCCAAAACAGCCAACTGAGACCAAGTGTACAAGCACGTGAACTGGAGGCTGACATTGCACGTTCAACCTTCGATCCGAAGTACCAAGATGTTAGTGTTAAGTCAAGAAAGAAATCAAAGGAGACTTCTCAGATACCTAGATGCTTGCCTTTTCTCCGCTGGCTTCATGATTGCCACACACAGTGGTTTCTGTAAATTCAACATCTTGATTCTATGTTAGGATAATTCCAAAAGCAGATTCCTATATGGCAGTTACCACCAGCCCCGAAGTGACAAACAGGACTTTTCCATATTCTTAAGACTGAGAAAGTCTTTGAACTTGCTTATAAAAGTGATGTGTGGCCGATGGCCTCCAGAAAAGGTCAGTTGGAAAAATGAAGAATTGAGCTAAAGGGTTCAGGCTGCTGCAGAAATTGCAGTTAAATCTATAAAGATGGAGTTTTCCCTTTTCAGACCTCACAGAACTACCAATTCTATCCAGAACAGTCTGCCAGGCCTCCCCAGGGCTGGGCAAAACAAGGTTAAAATAAGAAAAGCAGCTTGCAGAGGCCAGAGCAGGAAGCTGGTCACTTCTCAGATTTCCACAACTCCCACCCTATCCTGCTCTGATGCTAATGACAGCGACACAGGGCTTGACAAATGAGTCTGGTATCTCGGCCATTTCACACCCATCATTAATTTCCTGTCCAGACTGATTAGCGGATCTGCCTTCCCAGCCCCGTCTCTCTCCTCTGCTGGAGACTAGACCATTCTTCTCTCTCCTCTGACCAGCTTTATCTTGACAAGCACCATGTGTCTCTGTTCAGCTCATTGTTCTTTCCTCCGCCTCCGGGCGTCAGCGCGCGCGGCTCCCTTACCAGGAAACACACAGAATCACCCCCCAAATCTGCTGTGTGACTCTTCCTGGGGAGACGTGCAAACAGAAGTCTACTCACCCGGATGGGGCACCGACAACAGACCTAGGAAACCCTTTCATCCTTGTCCAGCTTTGCGAAGCAATGGTTTACCTCGGTTATTTACAAGAGCGAGGCTAATGGTTATAGGAGCGTGGGTGTGCCAGAGGCCGGCATGTCAGTGAGAAGCCCACCCCAGCACGGTGGCATTGCACACAAACTGTGTTCCAAGAGAACCTGCTCTCACCTCCACTAGGGTCTCCCTCTCCCTGGCGGCCATTGGCTGCTTTTGTAGTGCAGGGGAGGGGCTTCCTGTGCCTTGCAACTTTCCAAGCTTCCCAAACTTTGCAAACTTCTCTGGCTTCCTGAGTTTTCTGAGCTGGTGTCTCTTCTGGGAGAGCATGTTCTGATTTGGGAGTAACAGCTCCACAGCAGGACTCTCCAAGGTCCAAGTTTCCTCCAGTTAGTGAGGTTGTAGAGCTTCTGACTGGATTGGTCCAGAGCTGCGCCAGTCCACGGCCCCTGGCTTCTTCCTTTGCTGGCTTCAGGGTGGCTCCCATGAGAACTGGTTGGTGTTCATTCCAAAGAGGCCGCATGGGGAGGGAGAACTGCAGGAGCAATGGGCTGTGGACAGGGCCTGGCCGGGGCTGGAGCTGAGGCAAAGCTGTCTTCCCTTTGTATTCCACAAGCCTGCAGGCCCAGCCCATCTGCTGCTGTAAGTTGCCATAGCCAGAGAGGACACACAGGAGACACTGGTACCCTTCCAGAGTCTCCATTCCAGAACAAACTCTGAGGAGATTCAGAGGCGCTGAAGAAGCAGGGAGAGAGCAGGTAGGTGAAGGACTTGCTGAGCTCAGGATCAGGGTGGGTGCTTCAGCATTGCCGTTGGCGAGGCACTGGTCCAACACAATGAGGTGGGTGAGCAGCTGGCCTTTGTGCAAGGCTTCTGTGCTGGCAAGCCTTGTTTTCTCTCAGCAGCCTCATGAGGGAGGGCCTTCGGTCAAGGCCACTCTGTGGTAGAGGGGATGGCATCCACCGATGTGAGCACCTTGCTCTAGGGCCCAGGATTGGAGAGAGAAGCAGAGCCAGCCTCCAGCAGATGCCCGACCCCAGAGCCCTGCACCCCACTGGGAGGTCCCAACCTTGAAGGGTACGCCCACTCCACCAAAGAAGCAGCGAAACAACATTGGAGCTTTGCCACAAGTGCTGCTGTGACCTTGTACCCAGTATCAGCACCAGGAGGAGCTATAGTGACTCGCTTTATGACTATAGAGGACAAGAGCCCCTGGCTCCGAGGCTGGGGGATGGCTCAGTCAGTAAATGCAAGGACTTGAGTTCAATCTGAAGAACCCAAGTAAAAGAGATCTCTGTGTGATCGTGCCGGAGAGGTGAAGACAGAATCCCTGTGACACAAACATGCACGAAAATACACATACTCACAGAGAGAGAGAGAGAGAGAGAGAGAGAGAGAGAGAGAGAGGAGGAGGGAGGGGGAAGGGAGGGAGAGAGAGAGGAGGGAGCCAGTTTCTGACATCTCCCTACCTTACGGCTGTGTGTGACTGAGTGAGCCACTCTTTGGGGTACACCATAGCTCTCTGGGGATGCTGCTGCGATGTGTTCCAGAGCCCCTTCTGGAGTGCAGAGCCACTCCCAGGAGGCCTTGGCATCGGGGAAGGCAGGACCCCTGCCTTTCTTCTGTGGCCCCCAGGGCCTCCGCAGGGGTCATACAGCTCCAGTGCTTTGTGGTTTCAGAGGCCTCGTGATTCGGCTGGCCACTAGAAGGCATGCTTTTCTGCGAGCTATCTAGTTAGGAGGAGTCCTTCCACACGGATGGAAAGCCCTGGGAAGATGAGGAATACCAGGGCCCCAGCTGGCATGCCAGCAGCAGACGTCGGCAATGGCCAGGTAAGGCCACGTAAGTGTTCACAGGGAGATAAAAACACAGAGCCATCCTACTTCTGTGAGGTCAAAAGGCTGTGTTTGTCTAGCTTGGCAAGGTGGAGAGCGAGGGATGCGCCAGGGCCATCTGGGCTGGCTCGGTGTGCACTGCCTGTCCCCGAGAACACCTCAGGGTGTCAGGGAGGCAGGCGGGCGCAGCCGTGCCAGCAAGGCCTGGAAGGTGTCATTCATAAAATATTGAATGACCGAGGAGGTGGCACACAGGCTACATGGCAAGGACAGGTTCTAGGGGAACGGGGTGGGGAGGGGACCGCATTCACTCCTGACTCATCCGGCTTGGGCTGCATGCCCAAGGGCTCCCGCCAGTGTGGATATGAGCCATGACACCAATCCAGCAATTCAGGTGGCAGAAGCCAGCTCTGGCCCAGGGTGGCCACTCTGCGGACCATTGGCCTCTGCACAGCAACGTTCCATGTTACATCAGGACAGAGCTCGGTGGATCTTAGCCAAAAGCAGGATGAGAGAGAGACGTTTTTACTACAGATGTTGTCAGGGTCTTCTAAGCTTATGGAAGACATCAGGGTCACAGCATAATCTTACAGGGAGAGCTGAGAGGGAGGGGCGAACAAGAGGCAGGATGTCGATTCTATGAAGAAAGGCGCATCTTCATGTTTGTGAGAGCCACGGAACAGACTCTCCACCGTAAAGAACACAGCCACGACTGGACTATTGTAGATTCCATGCAGGATCGCAGCCCTCTGACGACGTCCCTGACGGGCTCTGCAGCTGACTCCCGGCTCTGATGCTGGCTGTCTTATTCTAGAACCTTCCAGAGAGCTTGTCCGTGTGTCCTCCACAGCCATAGCCAGAAGAACACAGCTAGAGCCAGAAGCCCCTGGCTTCCTTGACCGTAGCCCCCTTGGTGTCTTCCTTGCAGCCTGACACTGAAGCGTGTGACTCCCTCTGGATGGATTTTTACCCCTGTGGGATCTCAGCACACAGAGGAACAAGGACAGATGGCAGCCAAGGGGTAAAGAAGGTGGGCAGGGATGCCACGGAGGTTAAACAGCTCTTGAAGGTGTATCAGGCTCCCCCATTCCCAAAGGCTCAGCTTTGTTCCCTATCCCTGTGGCTCGTGTTATGCCCTCCCTCTGGGTTTGGCGAAGCATCTTGGCAGCTGCCACTGAACACGCTGTGGCTGAGTGAGAACATTTCCCAGGCTGAGCTACGCCAGTCACGGATGGAAGGCTGAGCTCGAGTGTGTGTCCCATAGGTGCCATGAGATCCCAGGATCTGTTGATCTGAGCTTCCCTCCCACCCTCACCTGTCACATTTTTCAAGTCCTTCTACGTGTCACACACTAGGATGGGACACCTAAGCTTTCCTGCACACCCATGTACCAGCACTTCATCTCAGGGCCACAACTCCATGAGCCATCATGCCCACCTTAGAGGTCACCCCAGCTCCCCAAACAGTATCAGCAGCTGCAAATCAGGTGTCCAAACACATGCGCATTCGGGGGATAGTTCACACCCAAACTGTAACAGAAATATTGCTTAATGTTCTACAAACATAACCGACCATTTTAGGAGGGAGGCCTGGATTAGCATGCCACACACGCTTGACCCTGAACCTCGGGGGCAGGGGGCGCCCCACATGCTCTGAGAACCTCCGCTGCAGGCTGAACAGGGCTTGGTGTGTGGTGGCACGGTCAGTGCGTGCAGAGGGGAGGACATTACATCTGCAGCCTTCCAGCTGAGTGAGTGTTGGGGTGTCTCAAGAGATGACCAGACAATGGAAGGACGAGGCTGCAGTAAGAAATCCCATCGGGGCAGCTCTCGGGCGGAGAGAAGGCTCAGCAGCTAAGAGAACCTGCTGCTCTTCCAGGACCTGCGTTGGTTCTTAGAACGTTGGGGAGTCCAAGCACGGGGGCTGTGCTGCCCTCTTGTCTAGCTTCCTGGGGCACCTGAACTCATGCGCACATGCATGGAGACATAGAATTTTTTTTTAATTTATTTGTTTATTATTTATACAGAGTT